GCGCCCCAGAGTACCGCACCTCTAAGTAGCTGCACAAGGCTGTGTGCCAACCGTTGTAGCCCGCAGAGATTGCTCAGGCGACATTGATGCTCCACTCGCACCTGTTTGTCTTACGGAGTGTGGCTTGGATGTGCACGCCCGGGCTGCGACAGATGCTGGCCCTCTGTGAGCGAGCGGCAGCACGAAGTTTGCAAGGAGACAAAACCGGGTCGCGTCGCATGCGGCCCCCCGCCCCCGCGACCGCATAATACAGGTGGTCGATGGTGGTCGATAAAGGCCTCCCCATCCGGCAAGGTGCTCACAGTCGTGAGCCCGCCGTGCAGCCTCCGACCAGTCAACCGCAGGATCCTCACGTTCTTGCGACCGCTCGCGCGCGGGCGCAGGCTGTGGTGCGCTGCGGGCGGGCCGGAGACTGGCCCCGCGGAGACTTGCCCTGATCCAGGGTCTCAGCACCCCTTGCCCATGCGGACTCCTGGTGTTGAAAAGGGTGCAAAAAAAAAACGAATCATCAAACGGCACTGGCCGCACCCAACATCCGTTCCGACGATCGGCGCCACGCGGTCCCACCGCAACATCCGCAACAGGAGCTTAAGCGGTGCAGGGCTCACTGCGCAAGGCGGGAAACAAGCGGAGGTGACAGAGACAAGTCAGCGAGGACGTCGCTGAGCGGCGGAGGCTCCATCAACGTTGGCAGTATCGGCGATCGGCAAAGATAGCGCAGGACCTTGCTGCGGCAACCGACAACAACCCCGACCATCCCCGACCATAGTGCAACGAAGGCAGGCACTGTTGCTTCGCATTGCGACGGAATGGCATTAAGCGCCAGCGGTGGTGCCCTGCAGCGGCGGGGTGCTCCAGTTGCACATGGCGTCAGTGGGGAGACATGGGGAGACCAAAGTTGTGTCGACTGCGAGCTAGGGGAGCCGATCCACGAGGGAAGTCCTGTAGCAATAACTCCAATAGCCCAGAGCCTCCCAGGAAGTCGAGGCAACCCGGAAGCCGCAAACCCAAGCTTCTCACCCCGCATTCCAGCCATTGCAAGCCCGAACACCCCAAGGAGTAAACCAAACCCAAACTCCAATCCGGAGGGCGCAAGCCCTTGAGCCCAAACGCGCAGGCCCAATCTAGAGAACCGAAGGTGCAAGCGCAAGGCAGCAACTGCTATTCCGAAATCAACGCAGTTCTCCCGGAACGCCTACGATTCCTACTCTGTGGCTGTGTGACGGACGGGCTGGGACATGGCCTGGCTGAGCCAGTAAAACATGCCAAGATTATGCATGTCGGGACCGGCTGGCCCACCGTCGCAAAACACTGTGCGCAGGGCACTCAAACAAAACATGCGCCAAAGAGTCAAAGGGGTGGGCACGGAAACTGGCACGGAAACGGCAAGGACATGGTACAATTGACCAACGGAGCACTAAGTGCCCGATGTCTGGCTGCACGCCAACCGGCGAAAGGGTGACAGCTGCGACGTGCTAACCCCCAGTATCGCCTGAGCATCGCACTCGACACTGCGCTCGACGCGATTCAACGGCTGGTCCGTAGACAGCAGTGCGCAGGGTAGGCAAGGACAATTGACCAAAGGAACACTAAGTCCCCGATGTGTGTCTGCACGTTGGCGGAACGGTTGAGTGCATCAAACACAAGCTTGACGCTCACAGCAGCATACATCAACAATTCATTGATATGCTGCATCCACACCACACGTTCATGCTCACCGACATGACATGGAAGCGGATGATGCGGATGTGCTGAGCACAAGATATACCCTGACAAACACATGTAATAGCGGAAGCAAGTCCGTTGATTAGCAAGCTAAAGCAGGAAACCACCCAAGGACTGCACGTTCCCTCACCCCATTCTCAACACTCCGCAAGTCAGAAGCCCTTGATCCAGTACGAACCGAGGCGGTTCGGTCCTCACCAAGTCCTCTACCACTTGCCGCATGTTGGTGAGGATGCCCGCGTTGTGCAGGTTCAAAATTAAGCTGCACCGTCGCGCAAAGCGTTGGTGCTTCCTAGGCTGAGGCATAAATGCATTGTTCGTGTTTCCGCATGATCCGCTGCAACAACTGAGGAAATTATGTACCTACGTTGCCGCCATCTCACTGCAACGATCCATTCCATTCATTCCACGTATGCAGTATGCCAATTCATGCCAATTCTGAGACAGCCGGGATGTTGCGCTTCACCCCACAGAAATGACGAAGGCACGAGCACTGCCTGAGCTTCCTGCGGCGCTCGAAAGCCGCAAGTTGTCTTCGTGCTCAAAAGATGGGGCATACGCGAGATGTTGAGTCGCAGACGACGAACATTTGCGCTGCGACAGCACCAGCGCTTCGGCAAACCCTCGCGTTGAGTTCTACTTACTGTCCTTCTCGGGACGAGCCTTGTGACTATGTCTCGGGCATGTACCAGTACGGGTTCGGAGAATTTGCCATCAAGTCGCTGTCCAGCTTAGATGACTCACCATGGTCGATGGTTCTGGAGGTGGCGAAGCAGAGGCGGACCCGTGCAGCAGCAAGATCGAGATGTGGCAGGGATGCTGGGGGAGGAGGCCAGCAAAGTGAACAGCCTCCGGGCTGCTGGCTTCGAGTGCAACGAGTTCATAGCATCAGAATGAGGAGGACATCGAGGGACTGATCGTGATAAAGGCTCATGGCTGTGCGAGCCTGAGTCGGCACTTCCGTCGAAGCTGGTTTCCGCGCTTGTGCCTGTGCCTGTAATGCGTGGCAATGTGTCGCCCTTACTTCGTGCGGCGGGAGTCTGCGCGCCTTCACGCGTGTGTTGGCGCCGCATCCCAGATCCTACCGACCTGCGGTACCCAGCTACGAGTACAGTACCCACCTACCGACCGACCTAGCTACCTATTATAACTACCAACGCAACCGAACCAAGAGCGAAAGAGAGAGAGAGAGAGAGCACGAGAGGACGATGGAGCTGGAAGTGAAGGTAAAAGTGCGGCAGCAACAGGGAGCCCCGATTCCATTTTCCTCCGCAGGATGAGTTGGCATCCGTCCCTAGACTGCGTCTCGGCATGTCTCGGCCTCGAGCATCAATCTTGCCGATTCTTATGTACAGCCGGTGCTTCCCAAATCGAGGGAGGCGTGAGGCGAGGGGACGGGGACGAGGGAGTCCGGGAGGCTGAAGGTCTGACCATTTTACGACCGTGAGCATTTCGCCGCACCCAAGCTTTGAGAAGCAACCCTCGAATCTGGCTGGTGTGAGACCTGGTGTCATGCTGCCGGTGCAACGTTACCAAGAAGAGTTTCCAATCCCAAACCAGAGCGATACCGAAAATGGGTCAAGTGGAGCAGCTGCCACAGGAGGGCAGGATTTGCTGGAGCGCAATGAGACGCCTATCCATGAGCAACGCATGTTGCCTCCATAGTGACATATTGGTCTTGTCAGGTTTACTCAGTCTGCACAAAGATCACAAGCACCACGACCTTCTCCCCATCCTACCACTTCTGCCATCAACGACTACTGACTGACTATCTACCTGCTGAGGCGGCTTTCTCAAGGTATGGCTGCAGATTCCGGACTGCCACCACATTCCATGCAGCCCTCTGTCTGCCAAGCCCCACGCCGTGTGGAACCGTGAAGTCATCTGGGAGTTCTTATATCGTAGGGTTCGGCCGGGGGTCGAGGGGCAGAGAACCAGACCGAGCGAGAAAGATAACAAAAGAGTGAAACAGCCAGCAACCAAGAAGTTTTCAGCTATATGATTTCCGAATAGAGGCTGGGATGTCACTCATGTGCACGACAAGTGATTCCATAGAGTCAATCACGAGTTCATGTTAAGTGAAGCATCCCGGAGCTCTGGTAGATTATGTTAGAGTAGCGAACATAAATTCAAGGCCCTTGTCATCGGAAAACTGTTACTCACCTGAATGGAGACGGCTTTGCGCGAGCTTGGAGACAGCAGAACTGCCGCGTTACATGAATCAGGCCCTTCCAACAGAGGTGTGGCTATGGACAGGCGCACTCCCGGTTTTCACATGGAGCCATAAAAATGGATTGCTTTGAAGCCCAAGTCTTCATTATTAGTTATACAGATCCAGGGAATTGGCTACTTGTGGATGGTCTGTACCAGCCAATATTTTCAAAGATGCCTAGATCGGAAACCAGGGGGTGCGTTGGATCCACGCCCGACTGCTGAAGAGATCTTCAAACATTTGGCTGCGAAAACGACCAAACTGCATCGATGCCAACCTGTTTGGAGCTCACTGCAGTTGGCCGAGTCAAACAAGGCAGGAATCTACTATGGTTCTGGATATCAGTCGCTGCTAGCTTTTGTATGCCTGCCAGCCCGCTCAACACAGGACAAACATGACGAGGGCAAAGTACGTATGGGCTACGATGACTGCACCCTAGTTGCCTTAATTGACGATGCTACGACACGACCCGACCCACATCTGAGCCTCATTTGGTAACTCGCCTTCTCAGGCGATCTTCAGCGCTGTCACCTCGGAGTATCGAGGTCTGAAAGCCTTGAGCGAGCACTGGAGCACTGCGATGAAGCTGACACGCAGTCACATAGACTTGGTTCTGCTGGACGTTTTGGTCTCTTGCGCCGTCAGCTCTCGAAGCGGGGGGCTCAGCTCAGCCTTGCCAGCGAGATGACCACTTGCTCTGGCGATCGTGTCGACAAAGCCGTCCAAGACCGACCTTCCGCACAAGGGAGGAGGGCAGTGACAGGTTGCCAGCCACGACTTTGTCCATGTTACTTACGGGCAGGTATTGCAGCTCAAGAAGAAGCAAGCATTGGGTGTGACCTACAGTAGACTCAGCCGCCCATTCACGCCTATGCCATGTCCTTGCAGGCCAGCTCTCGGTCGCGTGGCAGATGTGGCAACAGGTTCCTGTCAAGTGGAGTGGCCACAACAGTGCCCGATCATTTCCCGTCCATTCTACTGGCACCAGACATGCTTGTGAACAGAATCGAAGACGATCTCTCCTTGCTGGTCCAGGTGCCAAGTGCATGAGGGGTGCTCTTCGTCAAAGTGAGGAAATTCGCCGCCATGTGAGGCGGAAGATCTGAATGTGCCTGGATCTACGCAGCTCGCAGTGTGTCGAGAAGATGAAATCTTCTGCACCCCTTCCGCTCTTCGAATCACAAGCCATGATATCTTGATGCTGCATGAAACAGAAAGAAGCGGGCAATAACCTGGAACCTCAAACGTGCTGCCCCACCCTGACCGATGCGCCTAAAGCCAGCCTTGATCCAGGACCAAGGGAGCTACAAAATCTGAACACTATTGAGGGCGGCCTGGGAGCGGTGGCGCATCGCACTATGCGTGTCATGAAAAAAACCCGAATGGACTTCGGAGCTGTGTTCAAGCTTCCTCTCTCTCTGCTCTAGCTGACTCTAGCTGCTCTAGCTCTTGCTCGGGCTGGCGGCTTCATCGGACTCAGGTCCCGCTCGCGGAACCGGGCATCCCGAACCGAGAGAAGGGCGGCCTGAGAGCAGCAAAGTGCACTCGGCATCCCTGGGCTTTCGGCCGGATCCGCCTCAACATCTCGACCAAGTGAAACGAAGCGGGCATCTCGAAAGCCACTTCGACTCTGGAGGCAGCCCAGGGCGAAGCCCTCGGCGTCCTGCAGAGTCTGTAGAGTGTCAGTGCAAGTGGCCGATGGGCTCCGCGTCCTCGAGTCTCTGCACCTCCATGCCCTTCTCAAGGACTGCTCTGAGAAAGCCGAGGGTTGCCTGCAAAATGCAGTTTGGGGACGGCTGACATCAGGTCCAAGGGCACAAATCTGAGTGAGGGTGCAAACAGTTCAGAACACGAGTCGAGGAACGAGGAAGAACCAAGTAGATTCACCTACAGCTGATTTCTCTTAGCGTTAGTGTAGGGAGATGCCGACCGATCACAAAGTTCAAAGTGAAAAGCGAAAGCCCACTGCCTCGCACTTCTTCGGGCTGTGGTGGTTGGCCACGTACGCCTTGCCCAATCTCTGCTATCACAGCAAAAACACAAAACACGTCATGTAGATGCTCAGAGTCGGAGCGTGGAGCTGAAGCACCAACGTTTGTCGCACTCTGACCAGAAAATTTCAGAAACCCCGGCCAGGGCCTCAGAGCGCATGCCAAGGTGTCCGGCAACGGCTCTCGCAAACAGGCTTCCGTCCTGGTCTCTGTTTGTGGATGCACGAGCTTTTCTGAGCTGCGAGAGCAGCCTAGACCAAGTTTATGGATCCCAGGGCCACCTTACGAAGTGCAAAAATACGTATCCGAGTGCTGCAGATGAAAGGTAAGATGTCGCCGTTGCGAAATCTACCGGGCTTTGGGCCTACGAATTCCTAAACCCAAACCCTCAATGGTATCATCATCTGAATCTACGAGGATCTACGAGGGCCTCTTTAGGATGCATGCAAGAGACGCCCTCGTAGAGCACGTCCTCAGTGTCGGGGCTGTAGGGTCGTGGGGTTCTGCTGGAGTTCACAGCCATGTCATCTTCAGCCCAGGTGCAGCTGCGACAAGGAGCTCGGGCTGCCTAAGACGTGTGGCAGGATCATCTGATTCGAGTTGTTCTCGCTGCAAGAGCACAAAGCGGTTATGCCTACGTCACTTGCCCCTGCCACATCGAATCCCTAACCGGCGACATGCGGCGACATCTCTTCAATACAGCGGCTCGTGCATGTAGCTGGACTCATCGCCCCAATCCAGGCGGCGGGCGATAGTGCAGGAACCGAGGCTGTTGGCCTGCAGGGTATGGGTTTTCGGGCGGAACCATCGGAACCAGACAAGCCCTGGCACCTGGATGTTCTGCTCCATCAACGGTAGCAACTCCTTCTCCGAGTCAGTGATGCAAACCGGAGCCTTCTGATCCGGGAGTCCGGGAGCTGGGCAAGCACAGTACTTTCCGCAGAATCTAGGGTGTAGCTTCTGCAGCAGTTGCTGAGTTCGGCCTGTCAAACCCGGCACATGCTGTTGTATCAGCTGTATCACCACCAAGATGCAACAGGGACAATGATTAGATCAGCTGGAGGGCACACAAATCATTAGCATCCTAACCCAACAAAGAACCAGTACGGACTGTAGATATCACCCCAGGATCTTCGCACTCCCACGCTTTTCTGACAAAGCTTCCGGATTGCTGCTCGCAACGGCTGTACAGTGCAGACGCAGGGAACGGGTTGCTCGGGAGATGGGCTGATCAAGAGATCTGGCAACATGCAAGCTCTAACAGTAGTCCAAAAAAGGTCTCTCAGAGATCCGGACTGTTGTTGAATTCTTCCTTGGTTGGGACATACTCAGCTGTTCCTCGCGCGATCTTCGCTAACGCATTCTTGCCAGCACACAGCTGGGCCACCGTTTTAGTGCTAGCCCGGTGCAGCACTTCAAGCAAACGCTGCGGAGTCCCTCGTGTAGCATTCCCTGCCTTCGCCACTAGTCTCAGTGCTGGAGGCAGTGAGCCGGCTTTGTGGATCATACACAGACATAACTTTTCCGAGCCTTGTCGTCGCGCAAGAGAGCCACCATGCGGACAGTCTGGAGAAGCTCAGCGAGGCTCCTTGCCTGCCTACGCGTGTGTCACGTGCATGCGTGCCAAAGGTGTCTTGTTGAGCTGCCGGCCTCTTGAGAGCCTCGGCTGCTGGCTTCTTCTGGGTGGCTGGCTTTTTCTGCGCCCTAGTCACGCCTGTCTCCTTGCTCACTCGGAATCTCCGGATCCCAGTACTGCCGCTCGCCGCTTGGGATTTGCGCAGCTGTGATGTCGTCACCTCTCATGAGATCCGGGATGACGCGGTGCTGTTTCAGGTAGCTGTCCAGCCGTTCTTTGTCCTTTCTTTTCCCGGAGCGAAAACGGTCGTAAGTCGCTTGGATCCCAGACTGCACACGTCTGGCGATGAAGGAGAAACCTTGATTTGTCACCGTGGGCTGACGCTGCTGACGCCCTTCTTGCTGCCAGTGTAGCAGTGAGATGGAGTAGAGCAACCACAAGGTGCATCGTACCTGCTCACTCACATCTGCCATGGAGTAGCCCACCCGGTCATCGTGGGACTCCACTGGGATCTGCCTGGCCGCATCCATCCCCAGATATGGATCTTCCGTAGCCTTCTTCTCTTCCTGAAGAAGACTCTGCAGACCCATCCGGAACTTTCCACTACTGCCACTCGGTGCTTCTGGACTGAAGTCCCTCGCAGTTCGTTCCCGTCGAGGTGGAGTCGAGAACCCTTGTGTCCACTGCAGTGGTGCAAGGCCTGGTCTTCCGGCCTCTGGGTCAACGAATCCTTGAGTGCACTGCAGCGGTGCCGTGCCTGGTTTTCCTGCCTCTGGGTCAACAACGCCTTCTGTGTCATCTGCCGCTCGCTTCCTCTTCAACTGCGGACTTGGAAGTCCTGGAATTGTGGATGCTGGCGATGCTGACACAGCGTCCGGCACAGTCACAGCTGGTGAAGCTGGCGAAGCTGCCGAAGCCTCCTGCTGTGTCGGAGACAACGGAGGTGACACGTTCCAGAACATCGACTCGTGCGGAACAGACGCCATGACGGCTCGCGGCTTCCTGCACTGCCGGCTTGAGACCACCAAAGACCTTGCGGTCGGCGGCAGTGGCAGACAAAATCTGAATACAGATACTCGGTTGCCTGCCTACTACAGACGTAACACACGTATAGGCACAGGGCAACTGGACGCAACTGATGCTTCTGGACGACATGATACAGCGAGCGTTGATGTGTGCGATGTCATGTGAAGCCAGAAGGCCGCGCCCAGATGGCCCAGCGTCAGGCCCACGACTCCTCGCACAAGCATCGCTTGGAACAACGGCAAGTATCTGGCCTACCGGCCTGCTCATCAATACTCAGCCCCACGTTCCAATCCCACAGCCTGTGCCAGCTCCGAGCTCAAGAGCAGACTTGCCTGCATGAGGTGAAAGGGAGGGCAGAGGATGATTTCGGTGCGAGGGGTGCGGTCACCCTGCTTGTCGTGGGGCAGAAGGTTGCTTTTGCTGCACGAAGATTGTGGGCAGTTTAGAGCATATCGCCCGATCCGCTGATCCCGGACTCCCTATCAAAATCCTGAAACTTGGGCAAGCCGCAGTATCTCTCCTTGCGTTCTTCCGAAAACTAAGAGGGCAGATCAAGTTTCCTGCAGACATGGTCTTACATGCCGACACTGGGGCATACACACTACAACATCATGCGTGGAACTTCCATTCAGACAGCTCGACGTGATGCGACATGATAGTAACTACAAGGAGTAGTTCTGGTCCCGAACAACGGAAAGTGTCACATGTGATATGACCTGGCATCAGCAATCATCAGGCCCCAATCCGTGTTTGTTTAAGGACCATGCAGTCCAGACAGCATGGAATTCTGTGGTGGTGAAGGCATCTTTGGACCCGTTCACGCATACCTGGATGTCTATCTACACACGGATGCGCTGGTCGACTGTCGAGGCCCGTGCCAGCCACCGCAGGAGACCATTCCGATGCAAAAAACCGGCACAGTGCAAGGGCACCATCCCAGAGAAGGTTGCCATAGAGAACCTGCTTGCATGTGTGCGGATGTAGGCACTACCAAATTCGGATTTCAAGGTGGTTGGCAGCTATGGATGTTCTCAGAATCGGAATTTTCGTGGTTGTATTGCTGCAGCGTGGCGAAAATAGCTTTGTTTGTGCCTTCCACGTGCATCTGCTCTAGTATACGCTTCAAGGCCTCAGGGTTTAGGGGTTCTACGGCTCACCGGTAACATGCTGTACTCTCAAACGAAAGGCGAGCTGGTTTCAAGAGGATTTCCGCTGCAACACTGCGAAAGCCAAAGAGAGCCTGTGCAGGCGCACCATCTTCGCCAATGACATACATGTGCTGAAAACAACTCACCATCAAAGCTAATCGCAATGAGACCACAAACAAAAACCTGCACCACATATCCTGATTACTTAATGGTTGCCCTAAGCCTACAGCCAACACCTCCTGAACAGTTCCGCATCCCGGTCAGAATCTTCGTCCGACGGCCTTCTCTTTGTGCGGCTTGCCCTCGAAAATGACGATACCCTCTGCGGTGCAGAATCGGTCGGCAGCAACATCGCCTGCTGCGGATCAAAGGGGCCTGACTTGTTCGTGCGGGTCTGATCTGGTAGCAATTGTCGAAGCATGTCGAAGCCGAGTCGAAGCCTTCCATGCATACCCCTTCCGATACCTGATTACACTGACATCTACAAAATCATGGACGGGTGTTCCGCCCCGTTCTCTGCGGTAGTGGGGTGGTTGCCGCTGTTTGCCTTAGGGTGCGCAGCTGTGTGTGGGCGTTGCTCATGCTGAACAGCTTTATTAATAACGATATATAACGATGTACTGTAGATCACCCCTAGTCCTGTCGTGTGCCGTCTGCCAGCCTGTCGGAAACTTTGCTATTAGCTGCGGATTTAGGCACTGCCTTCGTCACATCATGCTTTCTGCGCAGGGCTGTGCACAAGCTTCCAAAAATCGAGATTCGGAGCCGCGAATCCTAGCCCCCAACCCTGCCTGCTTTCGGCGGCATGCTGGTGCCGGGGCCGTTTCAGTCGAAGGTTTTGGGATTCTTGGTGTGATTGGCTTAGTGGCTTCACTGACTTCACTTGTAACGTCTTTTAACTTTAACCCGACTCTCAGGAGTCTTGGCTGTTGCACGGGCTACATTAGCTGGTGCATTGCTGCAACTGACTCGGGCCGCAGGCTCCGACTTCGACACCCATTGACCAAGGTCGCTGCCACATCGTGCTGCTGGCAACTGAGGAATGGAAATTCTTTACTCTCTGCCTCCAGTGCCAAGCCTGCAGAACACCCAAACAAGCCCATGAAGGCTGCAGCCCCATCGAAGGACTTCCAAGTCTCAAACCAGTTGACTACCGGGGCCATGGCTACGGCCAGGGCAGCAACAAGCTCTCGGGCACCTGCTGTGCTAAGGGTGACGGTGGTCTTACCCGACTTCCGTTCTACGTTATCGTCTACACTCTATTCGACAAAGCAAGCCCGCGCGGTAGGGATCCAAACGCAGACCCCGACAAACAAGGACCAACCGGGTCTCCATGGAGTCATGCACGGGTTGGATGCAACAAGCTAGCCAACAACGAACAGGGCACGGTCCGTACGGGCGTCGGTCGAAGATCCGGGGAACTACAATGCATCGTTGAAGCTCACAAAGCACTTGTAAACAAGCACTCAAGCCCGAAGGAGTCAGAAGTGTGGAGTTCTGACAAAGAGTTCTGCTTCTCTGCAAGAGGTACTACTCTCAGATCTTTAGAACTCGACAGACTAATGCCTCAAGGAGTTGGACATGGAGTGGCTTTGCTGAACGCGGCAGGCTTCCATTTCCCACCAAGCTGGTGACCTTGGTTTAGCCTAGGCTTCTGCACCCACGCTCCACAGCTTCAGCACCAAACCAATTCCGTGAAGCTACTAGCCGAAATTCGGGACATGTCGGGACGTTCCCCTCCTGCGCTCTGCGGGGACCGGCGTGCAGCGGCTCTGGTGAGCGGCCAGCCTCATCTTCCAATGTGCGGGGGCTCGACTATGAACGAGACTGCGAAGGACTGGGAGCCCGGCGCAACTCATGGGGCGAGCCGACCTGGGAGTATGCAAGATCGTGCAAGTCACCTAATACATGGCTGCATGTGGCATGATCGATGCGACTGATGCTGAAGTTCTGAAGCCCCACGCAAGTTCAACGGCAAGCAGAGGCGTAAGCATGCCAAGTGGCTGATAGGGGCCGAGGCCGGTAAGCAGCGCCGATCCTGGCCTTCAGGAGGTTATGGGAGGTTGCTCTTTTGCTACAAACGGCGTCCCTGTCCCTTTCCTAGGTTGCCGCGACACTCAGGAGGAGACAAATCCTCCCATCATTATAAAGCAACCCTGTGAGATAGCTGATAATCTAGTGGTCGCTGATGGGTGATGTCAAGACCAGGAGGCAATGCCTGCCGTGACCTACACCAATCTGGCTCGAATTCCCGTAAGCGGCCGACGGCGACGCGGCCGGTAGGTGCCTCGAGGAGTGCGGAAAGTCACAAACAAGCCTACATGTCAACGTATCCCAGGCCCCGGCCCTGCAAAGCTCGGTGAGGCAGCTTGGAAAGCACAGGCCTGCAAGGAGCTGCGGTGACAAGCCTCGAAGCCTCAAAACTTGAATCTTCTGCGAGATTCGCGGCTGCTCTGATTAGACATGCTGTTGCCATGTGACTTCGCTGTCCGAAGACATCCCACGAAGACCCAAACCCCCGACTTGGGCGTTCTTGAGAGGTTGGATCTTCGGTGATCAATTTCCGGGCAGTACGCCGGGAACCCCATATCGAGAAGCGAGCAGTGCCTGAGCAGGGCCTCCTGCCGAGATCACCTGACGAGAGGGGTCCGGTGGGGTTTCGCTTGCAAGCATGCAAGAACATGGCCTGCGGGGCTTGAACATGGAAAGCGGGGCGGGCACCCAGCGATGCTCGACATGTTGCTGTTCCGTCTGAGCTGTCGGTGTCCCACGTTCAGAAGAGTATGAGCAACACGACTGGACTAGCTGTGACGCAGCATGAAGTCGATCTGCTGCTTGCTGGCTGATGCCAACTCATTGGACAGACTCGCTTCTGCGAGCCCTCGAATAGTGTCCGTAGTTGTAAATACAAACCCTGAAGAACACGTGCTTCTTGTCTGCATCCGACATGCAGTATAATAGTTCATGGAGCAAGGATGTGCTTGTCTTGGCCAGGCTCGTGCGCAAAGCCCTGCTACTGCCCTGCTACATGAGGCTGCAGGATGCGTCGGGAACCTCGAGTAGTCGCGGAAAGGACCTTAGGCAGTTTCAGGGGGCTGCAACCGGAAGTTTTTTGTCTGTGCTTTGATCTCGGCACCTGTTGGGACAACCCGAATTGTGTCTGCTCGACACTACTTAGTGCTGGTGCATAACTTCGAGCCGCTTCCCAGCAGTCAAGTGCGCAAGATCGTCTGCTTTAGCGCTGCACAGTTTACAGTAGCAAGGCCAGCCAGAGCCGAGCAGCTCTCGTGGAGACAACGGCGGTGTGCGCGCGAAGGGGTCATCAGCGGGGAGGGGCTGCACTCGCTGCACCCTTCCGAAGGCGATGGATTTTTTTTGCAAATCTGGTAATTAGTCTCATCAGTCTCATGTCCATGTTTGGCTTTACACGAGAAGCAGAATGAAGACTGGTTGAAGAGGAGCCTCAGCTAAACTGAGGTATGCGATTCCCTAGACATCGTCAAACCTCTGGACTTTAGTGGAGGAGAAAAGGCCATATTGACGGCTTTGATGCTCAGACAGCTCAGACCCGGAAATCTAAAGCCATGCATGTTGCCCAAGCGCCCGAGTGGGCTCAAATCAATCCTTCCTACCGAAAAACCAAATAAGTTTCAGAAAGTCAATGCAACATTGCAGCATGCGACAGCTTCGGGGGGGTGTACAGTACTGGGCACCCGGGCTCTTCTGCCCGGCTCGGCGGGCCCGACTGGCGAGCAGCATGGCTGGCCTGAGGCACTGGACCGGCTCATGAGCCCGCACTATCCTTAATCAGACGAAGGTAGAAAGCTGTCTCGCCCTCATCCGAATACCCAAGGCAGGGATGGCGCTTGTCCCGTAGCATTTCCCTGCAAGAGAAAGCATCCCATGCATTGGGCCAAAGAGCTTTCAAGGGCACTGTTTTTGCGATTGTTCTAAGCATTGGGCCTCAGGCATGTTGCAGGTTTGCCGTTCGTTCAATGTGCTTTCGGAAACACACCTTTACGGGGTGTTCCTCACCATTCTGACTCTGGGAGCGGCAAAAGCAGCAGAAGGCTGTTGCACCTGAGCATCTGTTGAACTCCTGCAAGCCCTAGGTAGCCGAAATGTCAGTTCACCGACAGGCATAACCTGCCATAAGCCTTGGCGTCACAAGTACAGAGTGGCAGCTGCGTTATGCTGCGTTGGAAAGCTTGGGCACCGCACGTTCGCAGTCCAAGCTGCAACAGCTGGTGAGGGCCTCCGGCTAGATGCACAGCGAGCAGCAACAGGCTTAGGACCGATAACTGGGGGGGGTGGCGAAGACCAAGAGTGCTGACTATGCATCGCTGCAGATTCGAGCGAGTGTCGAGACTCGAGAAAAACTCAGGGGTTGTCGTTTCAGAGTTTTCACAGCACGGTTCCTCGATGGCCCTTGAGACTCGAGACATGCGCGCCCACCCACGCACGCACGCACGCACGCACGCACGCACGCACGCACGCACGCACGCACGCACGCGCGCACAACTGCACACAGCATACGAGAATCGCGGTAGAATCCCTAGAACAATTCCTCGGATCTTAGCTTTTGGCATATTAGATCATGTTGTGGCCTCAAGATGTGGATGCCATCGTCAAATCTTGTGCAGTGCATTAAAACAGCCGAGGGAGTAACAGGGAAACCGGGGGCTGTCGCGCAACCAGCTGAAACAACCTGAAATTGAAGTCTCGTGATCCATCCAGGCCGCTGCCCAAAAATGTTTGCCGTTGGCGGTGTGCCAAACCTCGATTCGCAATACTGCGGCGATTGTAACAACTCGAAGCCGTGTGGCCGACTTTGACAGGCTTCAGGATGCAACAGCCGTTGTGGTCAGGTTTAGGGTGGTCTGGAGACGGGAAGTTTGCAAGTCTTTTCCACTGTTGCTCGCTTGGCGATGAAGGGGCCCGTCTCTGTTCGGCCTCATGTGGACGGCAAAAACCAAACTTCTGCCTCACATAGTCTACGGAAGGTCCTCCATGCCATCTGAGCCCCGCAGCAGGGACCAAGAAAGAAAATCTTGACGCCCCCAAGTTCGAACCCAGACCTTCAACTTGTCCTTCTCAGCCGAGCAGCGGGGCAGTCGGGAAGGCAGCGTGGTGGCTGTAGCCGCCAGCGGGCCCAGGAGAATAGCCTTGGAAAGCTTAGTGATCCAAGGGATGTATGTGTCAGTCGGGCGCTGAGAATCTAGGTTTATGCATTTTCAGAGCTACAATTTGCGAACACTGCCTGGGAGGTCTCCGGCAGTATCAAACAGCTGCCGGTCTAGACTCCAACCGGCTACCGCTTACCGCTTAGTTTTACGTCTACCGCTTAGTTTCAGCTTGAGATTTGCCGAGAAACCGTGCAAGGCGTGCAAAGGACGAGGATCCACTGGAAACGGCTGCAATGGCTTCTGCATGCGCCGTGGGTCCTGATGGAGGAGGCTTGTCTGAGCTTTCTCTATCAGCTGTGTAGATGCAACGATGCGGACACGTCAAGTGCAGAGAGCGGCATGGACCAACAGTGCACAAAGTTCAGCCATCATAAGAGCGCTGACAGATAACATTAACTGTTCATTAACTAACTAGTTGAATCGAGCACCGAGCTCGCTCCAAAACACACTACTTCTTCGTACCTCGTCAACCCTCAAGTCAGCTACCAACTACAGTTGGGTCCTCGTGCGTGCTCCTCACCTGACCAACGACAAGCACAAGCACCGGCGCAATGTTCTGCACCGAAGCATCCTAATCTGAATCCAACCCAGCCAGTCCTTCTACGTTTAGCACAGCAGCACCGACAGAAGATGATTACCGGAAGAAATCCGGAGTTGGATCAGTGTGCACGGAAGCGCAGCTGGGGCCACTGAAGTTTAGCACTTTGGCAAGTATGTACATGTAGTGGCAACTGGCCTTGGAGCCATGTGGTGCCGTTGCACCCACCTTGAAACCTCGGCAATTGCAACGACACAACGGCCGACACGAAAAAACAATGTGACAATCTGGAACCTTACATAAAAGGCACATTGCTTCTGTTGCTGCAGCTGTTGTGTGGTGCTTGCGGTGTTTTCGCTATTGGTGTTGTTACTACTTCTGTAATTGTTGCAGTCGCCACGGCCGTGTCACTGTGCATGCGGCATTGTGTTCTTAGTGTTGTTACTGCTGTTGTTGGCGGTGGTGTGGTGCTGCACCTGTGGATGATGTTGCTGGACCCTCTTGTGATTGCTCCGGCCCTTTTGGCTCTGAGATCGAACTGGCTGACTTCAGTTTTGTTCGAGAAGAGACCTATTTGTCACGTAAAAAACTGTAACCGTCTAGCGTGTGGGCTGCATCCGGGCGGCCACGTCCGTGCATCGGCTTCATGGGTGCGGGCTTGAAGTGCGCTCGAAAACCTGTTGGCTTCAAGGCTCTGCGAAGGACTTCAGCTCCGCGGCTTGGGCCTTCGGGCCGGGCTCTGCGTCCGAAGTGGGATACGTGGTTCACAGTGTGAGTTCACAGATTCGCATGAACGGTCTTGTGTCTTGTCGGATCTCTGATGCATTTTCTTGGACTCAAGCTTCAGGTCTCGTTTCAGAGTCTATGCTTGGCAGCTGCTCCAAAAAAGCACATCAACGAGCAGAGCAGAAGCTCGAAGACGGGGGGCAACATGAACCTACTGCCAGCAAGAGGCCATCCGGACATCGTGGAAGAAGCTTCGGCATCGGGAAAGGCCTGCGCAGTTTGCAGTGCCCTGGACTGACGCCGGGCATCCAGAGGTCGACAAGAGTCTCAGAATACTGCCTTCACAAATCTACGGACCCTGAGGCCAGCCCCGAAGCGCCAACTGTTCCGCCACCTCTCCGCCCTGCCTTGCTCTGTCCGGTTCTGCCTTGGACTCCTTGCAAAGAGCTTGGCACTGTTGGGAGACCCGACTTGCGCTGCAACGGCTTACCGTACTCCACAGCGTGCACAAAACAGCACAGGATTCGTCAGCTCTGGCGAAGTTCGCACTGTGCTCTCTTCCACATACGAACTCGCACCTCTATGAAAGAGCCGTGTCTTGAGACATCAGCTGGTAACTAAGAGCTCTACAGCGTGACTCTACAATCCTCCTTGCTCGTAGAACACGGGGTCGTACTCTTGCCTTCTTCTTTCTTACTGATTTTTGCTCTCTGTGTCTGAGCCTGTTCCATTCATTCTTCACCATTGCATACGGTAACGGTCTTCGCATTGCTGATTGTGATGTCCGTGTCCGACTTGTCGAAAGCATTTCCCCGCACCATGCAAGGGCACAAAGGCAAGCAGGCGTCGACTTCACGCCCCCCTGATGTACCCGAGACTTGTAGTTCGTGCAAGCTGCATGCACTCTCAACATCATACGGCAGGTGCTGAGATGTGCTGCGACTTAAACCAAGAAAGATCCGATTCAGTCCTCTATCACCAGGCCCTCACGGGCCACCTCGGCGAAGTCTGCCAGTGGCCCCAGGAAGAGATCCCCGAAGTCCTGGAGATTGAGAGGCCTTAGCGCACCATTTCTGGTAGGAGCCCGATTTACGCACCAAAACCGGATTCACACACTGGATACAACCGAACCGCGTATTCGTGCTCATTCGTGCACCAACACCGTAGAATGTAAAGTCTAAACCTCAGAATCACTGAGCTCAGCACCCTAAACCCAATAACTCTAAACCGTAAAACCCAAAGCCCGTAAATGCAGTACACCGCAAAACCGAAAACCGCCAAAGGCTAACCAGTTGCCTTAACCCGCAACCCCTAGAACCCGACATCCTGAAGCTGGAAACGTGCAATACTAAAGTCCGGTGCTCCCCAAACCATAAAACCCTGGAAGACGAAGCCATAAACCCTGCAAACCGAAAGACTGAGCTCTCCATGCCAGTCGATACCCCAATGTGTCAATCCAATCCCCAATTAGACTACGATACCGACGATACCCGCTATTTCTTCTCTTCGACTAGCAGTATCAGCATCAGCATTGGCGCTCTCATTAGCGGCAGCACTAGCGGCATCAGCACCGTCATCATCATCAGCAGCCGCGCTTCATCATCATCGTCGTCGTCGTCAGCATCAGCATCACCGTCGTCATCGTCAGCATCAATGACATCGTCATGAGTATACTCATCACCACCAAGAACAACACTTATCCCCACTACAAGTAGCGTCCCCGTTGCAATGACTTCAACTTTCTCCTCTCCCTGCTCCTTCTCAAGTCTCCTCTTCGCTGCTATCAGTGGCTTCATAACCACTATGCAATAGACATGATATATGATGATCTTGAGGGTGATGATAACTCTCATGAAGGAGGTGATGATGATGATCATGATCATGATCATGATCATGATCATGATCATGATGATGATGATGATGAATGGTGACGACGAAAACGCCCCAATGGCCAAGGCATTCAGTCCATTTAACAACCTCTTCGATATCTGAGGCCGTGGCTTCCCATCCGCCGTGAAGCGATCCGGAGCTGCCCGGTAGAGTCCCAAAAGATCCTGAAGCTTCCGGTGGATGAACAGCTTAAGCTAAGTTACTAAGGCTTCTAGCGCCTCTAAGGCTTACGAGCAGCTGCAAAGCTGTTGAATTTAATACAGCAGGCTGCTGCCGCAGCTAATGGCAATGTCACACAGCTGTTGAAAGTTGGGCCGTGGACATGCAGCACTTCAGTGATGGCCGCATTGTAATTAGTTTGGAATTGTCGCAATTCATCAGGGACATGCTTCGCCTGCCAGTTGATTGCTAGTTTCTTTCGATGACCGACGTCAAACCGCAATTGAGTCGGATGGAGAAGGGGTTGAGCTCTCCAACGGTGCAGTCTGGAACGGCCGAGCCCAAACCTGACCGTGCCAAAGAAACCGCCTAAACCTCCAGCATGCGTTCGACTGCCATACCAAGGAACGCCCCGAGTCCCGTCTTCCAAGCCCGAGCCAGAAAACCCAGCAAAAGATCTGGCCGAGAGTCTACCCCCGAGTCGAGCACAAAATTCAGATGTGCCTCCGGTTCGGAGTTGAGCGGCTTAGCTGAGGGTTTGGGGGAAGGGCAACAGCCAGGGTGCCCTAGCTGGCACTGCCGGAGGCATGTGTGCGTTCTTGGCCTCTGCCCTCTGCAGACTTTACTGGTGACACGGGCCACCCGAAACTCACAAGCTCCACAAGCCTTCAAGACAATGTGAAGTGCCACCGGCGCCCAGCCTACAGAGCACGGGAGCCCCAAGCCCAAGAAAGCCCAATTGCCCATTCTGAATTCTGCTCTTCCGTACCTTGGCTCCCCTCCGGTCTAGTCGAGCCTCCAAGTCGGGCTCGGCATCTTCAGCCCCTGTCGCGGCTGGTGTGCAGCTGACAATTCTCAGATATTCTCATGTCACGCATGAGCACGGAGGGCAGTGTTCCCGACTTTTGCCTGGATCCATCCAAACCGCCAGGTCTCCCAGAACTTTGCTGTTGTTGGCCTGGCAGACGCATCTCCAAAAAGTCTCTTGAAGTCTGCTGCGGAGTTGAAGAGGGGTTGGAGACTTGATGACAAGGAACAAGATGGAAGACCTGCCATGCTCAAAGTCAAGCTATCTACTGGACAACTGATAATTAGTGCACAGAACCTCTACGCATTCCAGGAGAGGACAAGGACAAGTTTGTTGACATGCACAGACTGCTGTCGCGTTGTCATGTCTGCAAGATGGGAGCCCGCCTGGCTCGTGGGAGCCTCGGGGCCTAGCCCCGCCTGATCACGTAGGAACTGGACGGCCTGGTTGAGAGGTTCAGGGGTAAGCCTTCCCCTCTACAGGGTTTTGCGGCTAGACAACGTCACGTCTTGATTATGATTGCCTGCGCATGCTTCGGCCCAGGGTTCAAACCCTTGGCTAACTTGCGAGTTGATGCCCGCGAAGCCTCGCGCAGCGTATTCTTCGCCGCCCGGGAGAACGACCACTGATCGGCACAGGACACATCTTGGCCTCAAAGCCAGACTTGATAGTCACTGCATCCCTACCAGTCACAGGAATCACGAACAGGACAACAGGATGGAAAGCTTGGGCAGCCAGACGGAGTCATATGGTTGGCACTCGCATTGGCTTCGTCTGGTTGCCATAATCAGAGAACAAGAGATTTTGAGACGATGCCTTTGAGGTCACGCAAAGGTCGCAGAAAACGTCTGATGTGATCTCAAAAACGTATGAAGATTCCAAATTCTGGATCCAGGGTATGGATGCTCTCAAGCGTTGTCCACATGCTAGGGTGTTCTGGGTCCTGGCTACTGGCACTGGTTCTGCCTAAACCTGGAGCCAATGCGCAATATCCAGAACACTCCTGCCTGAAAGGTAGCATAGGAAACGAAAGCTGGGGATCCCGGCAGAAGCCCGCTAGGCTCAAGGAAGCTGTGTGGAGCCCTCGGTAGTGGACGACGCTGTCTTACGAAGCGTTAGTTTCGAGTCCCAAGGGGCCCCCGAAAGCATAATGTATGTAGGATATACACCTTTGATACTTGTGTAGCAGTCTCTGTGTCTGTGGGTGTGTGTGTGCATGCGTGTGTATCGTGCATGGAAGCACTGCTGCCATACAATGCATTCAGTTGCTGTTTTTGTCAGTCTTGTCAAAATTGCCGATCTCGGGTAGGATTCTGCCAAAGAGGTGCTTGCCAGTGGAAGAAACGGCTCCATCTCCTTGGTTGGCTCGCAACCCTGCTGCTGACAGACGTGGCGCGCAGCATATTAGTCTTCAATATTGGGTTGATAAGTGGCTATCACAAGCGCAGCCTACAGACGAGAACAACCAAATTGAGGATCAACACGATCGCGGCTATGTCAAAACAAGTCTCTGGAACACTGCTCAAGCACTCCAGCGCGGGGGGGCTGCCATAGCTGTCGCCCGTCAACGCTGTCAGCGAATCCCCGCAGGCACCCACGACCTGCAAGCTCAACACCCTTCCTACACCCCTGCCAACTCTAGCCTCAAACTCAGCCTGCACCCGGTCAAAGCTAGTAGGGCTCGGCAGTAGAGAGGTGGTCAGGAACTCTGATTTGCATAGCAGCCCTTCTCCTCACTGTGGAAAGCCTCAAACTCAGGACCTCTAGCTGACATAGCTGCCGAACCTCCATCCACCGTTCTCCGAGAGCGAGGGTAACGGCACGGGCCACAACGGTCTGTGGAGTGTCGATCTCCGGCGTTGCCCCAAAGACGAAGCCGAAGTCCACGCGGAAAAGAGATCCGTCCTCCCTGCAAGCCAAACTTGAACATCTTATGCTAATTCAACATCATGAACCTAAGGTGCCTTTCGTCGCCCGCGCCTGAGCATGATGTTGTCGTCATGACCGTCCCTCACACCAAGCGCATAGCAAGCAGTCAGGTATGCCACCGTGGTCGCAGCCAAGGTGTCAAGCTTGCTGGCATCGCCCGCAAGGGCCCGGTATACCCGCTGGTGGGTCTCCGGATGGCAGAGTCGTTTGAGTTCCCTCAATGTCCGGCATCCGTCGACTGCCTCAATCAGCCCGCCAGAAGATCCGATAGGGTAGATCTCGTAAGTGACAGTCTGCACCGACCTGCCACAAACACTGACCTGGTGCTCTTTCCAGCGCCGGTTCATCTCCATCAGAGCACACATCATGGCATGCTCCTGTCTGACATCCGCGAACTTCACGATGTAACGGTGACCGCCCGGATCCATCCGGAGCAGCAGAGCTCCGGAGGCGGTTCCTGGGAGCACTTGAAACTCCTCTCCGTTACTTTCTACATCAGGTTTGCATCTCCACTCGTAGCCTTGCCTCTGACCTCCGGCTACCTGCAAAGCTTCACTCCGACTCTTACCTCTCTGCTTTTCTTGTGTAGTCTGTCGGAGACATCACTTACAAGTAGCTTCTTCTCTTATGATATCTGGTGCCGAGTGCGCACAGAAAGACATCCAAAACTAGGCTGCCATGCTGGTCACGTCACTGCCTGATCGGACTCTTTGACACGTGCTTGACACTGGATGGTTGACTGGATGGTTGAACAAAACTCTATAAGACCGAAGTGGTCACTCAGCGTCGGAAGTCGCGCTCCACGGATGCCGACGTGAAGACACGGTCGCCGAGGTTCAGCGGCTCCGGAAAAAGAAGCATGTCCTGGAGGTGGATGGAGGTGACGAGGCGCGAACGGAAGCGCAGTGGAGACCGGGGCCCCGGCTCCCGGGCGTCGACCCCGAAGCTCCAGGAGCCACTCGGCCACACTGGCGGGCAGAAAGCCTCAGGATCAAGTTGTCTTGCACTTCGCCGGAAGCTTCAGAGCAGAGACTTTCAGCTTCGGAGTGGTCGTGTTTAAGAAATGCCAATCACTGCAAACTTCGACAACTCTTCGACAAGTTGAACCCAGCCCTCAGATTCATGATCTCTTCGTTGAGGCACTACTCGTGGCATCTGCGGGGTGCTCGTCGGTCAAAGCTGCCCAGTCATCTGCTACCTCCACAGCAAAGGGCAAAAGTTGCGACTGAATCAGGGCCTAGTAGCACGAAAAGCAGAAGAGCATGCGTTTCTGGCCCTTGCGCATTAGAGCCCTCGGCACCGTCAACAGCGGTTTGTGCTGTTTCTGGTACTGGTAGGGCACTGCTGTTTCGCTGGTAGACGGCTTCCTACAAAGCCCAGAGCACTGCCGATAGCTCTTCGCAAGCCTTAAAGCGAGATCGCAGGCGGGCCTCCTTGCTCGCCTCCACGGTGTCTTTCCCTGCTTCCGGCACATCTTCGACTTCAGGCGGAGACGCTGCCTGGATGCTGCACTTGCGAGAACCCTGAAAACGCAAGTCAGCAAGTCTCTTCCACTGTTTGATCCGTGAAACTGATGCCGGCATCGAGATCATGTTCCTGTTGTTTCAGTATCCAGTACCACTGGCCGATGCCGCTGCTGCGGCTTCTGATGCTAGATTTAGATCCAAGCTGAAGCGCCCCCCCCCCCCCCCCCCGCGCGCCTTGCTAACATGGGCTTCATCGACATCACCCGAAGCCATGGCGCCATGCGGAATCAGCTGCCGGCGCTAAAAGAAAGCTGGAAAGTTGAAGTGGTAAGCTGGAAGGCTTCAGGGTGTTCTTTGAAGGAAGTTTCGGTAGCAAAGAGGGTCCGGGGTGGGCCCAGTGAGGGTTTCAGCTGTTGGGGTTTGGTTGGAGAAGGCTTCAAGTCGGTCAGGACTGGAGAGGACTCAACTGCAATCCCTGATAGATTTGGCCTTCATGAAGCCTTCGGCTGCAGGCAAGCACCAGTGCCATGCAATGCGACTACATATGCGACTACAGCACCCTCGGGACCAACAGGAATGCAATGTTGGCCTGAGCTAGTTTTCAGCAAACCCTTCATCATTCAGTGCATGGACAGCCCTCTTCAGACCCAGACTCTGCAAGGGACACAAGGAACACAACAACCGGTCCGAATCGGAGCCTCTCGATCTACAAAAGCCAGCTGTTTTGAACTGGTGCATGCGCGATGCGCTAGACCGCACGATTTCACAAGATCGAGTCTCATGATGGTCCAGGGTCGAAGAAGCTACGGAGTTACAAGCCATGGCTTCATTTTCATGCCTCACGCATCTGCTCGTGCGAACGGGCTTCCAGTGTTTGGTAGCCTTTCATGCGAGACCTGCACAGCAAGTCATGGTGCACGCAGTGCTAGTGCGAGAGAGAAGCCAATCTGGGGGGCTGTGCCCAAACTTCTGTTCTTCCGTGATTGCCTACAATCAAGCCTGAACGAATGTAGCTGGCAGGCACGTCGAAAGCTAGACAGGACCTTGCTCCCAGTACCCTTTGCCCGAACCCTGTTTGCAGGTGCTTTTCTCACCCCGCACGCTTCCGCAAGCAGAGGTAGTAGCGCTCGTTCTCCTGGCCTCTGGAGCCTTTCTCACTCTGCCTTCGCTCTGACACACCCACAAACAACCCGAATTCCCAGGTGCCGTCATACTGTTCTCAAACCTTACCAAGCCTAGCACGCGCTCAACCACTCGTGATTAATAGCTACAAAGTTGTCCCCGACAACAAACTGCAAATTCTCCTGCTTGTCGACTGTAACTGTGGACCTTCTCAACAAACTCCAGCAACAACATCTCCCTGGCAAAATGCACGGCTCCGTCGCAGAAACAGCAACCGGAAGAAGCAGGGCCCCCTTCTAACAGTTCTCCGAGGCACTTCAGCCGCTGGAAGTAGGAGCCACCGTCGCTCCCCTTGTACAGTGCTCCGGCCACCTCTTCCAAATGGCGGATTGGGTCTGGTGGTATGGACGAGGGCCAGCAATCTCCGGGTGCCGAAGCTCCAAATTTGAAGCTCCCTGAAGACCTCACCAAATTCAGACGGCGACGGGTCTGGCTGAGAGACAGGGACAGAGATGAAAAAAGACGATTGACGATGAGGTTTGAGGCTGTCTACAGTCTACATCTTACTCGGTGCTCAGAACACAGGAGTCACTCCAGACGCTACAAAAAGCCAGCCCGAAAGTGTGGCCTCGCACGGAGGAGGCTGGCTTCGCAGCTTGAAGCCCTTCGCCTCCGCCACGAGTCCTTCTTTGAAGCCCTGCAGCACAAAGCTTCAATGATCTTCAATGATTCAACTCACCTGAAGCTCTTACGCCAAGACGCACTCGCCCCGCCTTGCCCTTCAAAGCCTCCTGGAAGAGCTCCCGTAAGGGCTCCGAAGCGAAGGCCTCGAAGGCTTCTCGCGATGTCGGGCCGTCAGAGGTGGGGACGTTTAAACGGGCCTCAAGGCCTGCTCGGCCTTTGGGTGGAGGGAACTCAGACATCTGCGTTACTTGTGTTGTGGAGCTTCATTCAGACTCTTCAAAGACGCAGCGGACTAGAAACTGCTTCATGATCTGAGCCATGGGGTTCAAGAGGAACAAAATCCACCGATCTCGTTTGGGTTTTATCACGTGAAGCCTGGAAGCATGGCCTTCAGCAGCCACTGGCCATAGGCGAGGTTGTCGGTGCAGATTGTCAGCGTGCCCTGCCCAAACTTAGCATTTAGTCATGGCCGAAGCTGTTATTGCGCGAGATTTGAAAATGGCCGTTCCCTTCTTCTGAAATCGAAACTGAACAGAACACTGCATCTCAAAAGCCTTCAATTTGCAGTCCCTGGCCTCAGGAGCCAGCACGGCGGCGCAGGCATCCTGCAAGAAGCCCAGGGTCAGAAGGTGGGTGGACTCCGTCCCGCTGCCGGCCTGCAAAAGCTGGGGATGAAAGGGAACCCTCCGGCTGTTGGCTGATGCAGAGAGAGAGAGAGAGAGAGAGCGAGCGTGGTATTTCGCAGGACGGCCACAGGTAGCCGCGTGTCATGGAGAGAACCGGCCTCTCGAGCCTCACCGCTCTGCGCTGCCCGTTCGAGGTCGGTCTGGTGCGGGGGCTCCTCAGTGATTCCCTTGCCTTGCCGAACCCTCCCACTGCTCTTGCTCCTACTGCTGCTGCCGCCACTGCTACTGCCACCTTTACTGCTGCTGCTGCCGCTGCGGCTGGGCTGCTGCTGCTGCTACTACGACTGTTGCACGTCTTACGGTAGCCGCAGCATTCGCACCCCACAAAGTCCCGTCATGATCGCCTTCCTCATCCTCAACATCCTCCATGTCCAGACTGTCTGTGTTGCTTTTACGACTCCCGCAAGTTGGGTAGATCACCCTGGCGACAACTATCAGGTGCCGCAAGGGGCTACAGGACGAAAATAAGGGATCTGATCTTCCTCACTAAGCCTGCTACTGTATAGAGGATAATGACCCGACCGATCCGACATCAAAAACATGTGCAATGCACGCAACTCTTTGTGTGACCCGAATCCGAAGCATCCTAAGCTCCACATTACGCACAGGTTGTAGCAGTCGTGCTGCACATAGACAACTCAAAGCACCAACACACACCCCAAAGACTCTGGCATTGAACTCTGTCTCGGGACACTTGCAGTCCAGGGGCTGGATGGTTAATGAAGAGCCGTGCCACACAACCAGGCACCAGGTGGGCCTGGCGTACGAGCTTGCAGCGAAGATCTCTGGTCAAGACACCCTTCTGGAAGATGCAGCCAAGCGGAGCTTCCGAAATACCGAACCCATTGCAGCAAACCTCCCGCACCCCTGGAGGGCGGGATAGCTGGACCGCAGAATTAAAGCTGAAGTCCTCATCCCTTTGACTTGAAAGTCCCTCGAGCTATCTATGCCAACCCTGCAGCCGGGATCCTCTCGCTCCCGACACTATAAAAGCCGAACGCACCAGCTCCGGCAGAGGAAAGCAGCTTGTAGACTGCCGACAGACAGAGAGCCAGAGCCAGAGCCGTCCCGGAGGCGCCTCGAGGGTGCCTTTGGCGTCGCCCACGAGGAGTCCGGCGTTGGCCCCTTCCGCGGCGAGGCCTCGAAGGGCAAACCGCTGGAAGCACCTCCGAGGAGCAAGGGGCGGGAAGGGGCCGGGACAGGGGAAGACCAAAGAAGTTTCTGTCTTGGATTCTAGCCTTGTTGCTCTCTAGCGGATAGAGTCTAGAGTCTAGAGACATTCTTGTCTTGGCTTCTACCAGATGCTAGAGTTAATTCGAGCTGGTTCACTTCGATGTTGTTGTGGTGCTAGATCCTACAAATTTCACCCAGGTCTGCTCTTTGTTGACTCGTTGCAATTGAGCACACCTGGGAGACTGTGATGTCTACTGTAGCGCTGCTCCAGGCTCGGCGTCTAAGCTGCGTTGTCGATGCGTTTACGCGACGTATTAGGCACACAGAACCGGCAGAAGTAGTGTCATTTACAATGATTGTCTATGTCAATAAGCGTTTGTGCCGTGCGAAAGCAGTCAGAGTCGGTGAGACTCTGAATTTAGTGTAACGAAGAGATGTAGCGATGTGATGTTGTGGAGAAGTTTGCTGAAATGTGTTTTGGCACCGCGCAGCGCGGTCGAAGCGCAGCTCACAGGCGACCCAGTTCACCGAGGTGTCGCGCAAGGCCTCACGGAGGCTCTACGACGTCCAGCTTTGCAAGCGAAAGAAATCACACTGTGGCGGGGCCGCTTGGGCCACTTGCTCTTCCATTCCTACTTTCGGTGAACGCTTCAGGTTCGTAGCTTCGCAGCTGGGAGCCGGGCCTGCGAGCAAAGCCATTCCCCGGAACCGCTGCAGAGTTCTAAGTGCAGCGTTTGGGTGAACTCCTTGCAGGGCTGTCGGGACGGTCAAAGCCCAGTTTCGTGAGCCCTTTCGCGGTCTCCAAATGCCCGTGCTCGAGAATAGAACGACCATCGCTGTGACTAGCGGCCTGGAATACAAAGAGACAATGGCTGGACAGCAAGAGGAGTTGTCGCTGCCGTCGTCGCTGTCGTCGCAGAAGTGATAACTACCGCCCGGCCTCCAAATCATCATCATCGTCGTCATCATCATCATCATCATCATCATCATCCCCGGCAGTGGGATTCGCATAAGAAGCAGTGGCAACAACAGTGCTGCGCTCTCTTCTTGTTGCATGTGGGTGAGACCTAGCTGCAGCAGTGGTAGTAGAGGAAGAGAGAGGGAAGGAGGACGAGGAGGAGGAGGAGGGAGCAGCAAAAGCAATTTTTGCACATGGCAGGGCAGGAGTGGAAGAAGCATGGTGATGAATGCTGTGATGACGCCACGAAATTCAAGAAACGTTTGAGACAACATGAACACAAACAAGTGGTAAACATAGCATGGTACCGCTGCTGATGACCATGTTTCTGTAAGCAGCCGACTAATCACGATGTTGGCCCGGTCTTGGCACAACATGCATCAGTCCTCACCAGGCTCAGCGAAAAGGCCGCGTAAATCGATCCGAGCCCTGGGCACGGTGGCCTAGCAGGCGAGACTCCACAGCAGACCGAGGAAGAGGGTCTCGGAAGTGGG